AGTTTGGGGGAGTGTGCCCCGCCACCCATTTTTCCCCACGCTGGAGGCTGATAAGGGTGCTGCGTGCCCGCAGGGAGCATGGCAAAGCGCCTCAACCAGATTGGGGTGGAGAACACGGAGGAGAACCGCCGGCTGTACCGCCAGATCCTCTTCAGCGCCGACAGCAGGGTGAAGAAATGCATTGGGGGGGTCATCTTCTTCCACGAGACCATGTACCAGAAGGCTGATGACGGCACCCCCTTCGTCCAGATGATCAAGGACAAGGGCATCGTCGTGGGCATTAAGGTGTGAGGGGTGTGTCTGGTGGGTTTGTGGGGTGCTGAGGGTGCGTGGAGGGTGCTGGTGGGGCTCAGTGCCACCTCCCTCTCACTCCACAGGTGGACAAGGGTGTTGTGCCGCTGGCTGGGACGGATGGCGAGACCACCACGCAGGGTAGGTGGAGCAGGCAGGGAGTGGGGGCTGTGAGTTTGGGGCCGTGGGTGTTGGGGCTGTGAGGCTGACACACTGTCTGGCAGGTCTGGATGGGCTGTGGGAACGCTGTGCCCAGTACAAGAAGGATGGGGCTGACTTTGCCAAGTGGCGCTGCGTGCTGAAGATCAGCGAGAACACCCCCTCCGCACTTGCCATCATGGAGAACGCCAACGTCCTGGCACGCTATGCCAGCATCTGCCAGCAAGTATGTGTCTGGGGCTGGGCATCGCCCCACCGGGTGGGTATTGAGATGTAGGATGTGTCTTGACCTACGTGGGCAAGTATTGCCCCACGGGGGAGGACACAGATCCATGAGGCTCAGCGTTGCCCCTGTGCCATGATGATCCCTGGGGATCATCTCCCCAGGGCTGGACATAACCCATGGGTTAGGTAACACCTCACGTGTGTTGGCATTGGGCATTGCCCCGTGGGTTGGGCATCAGCCATGGGGTCAGGCATCAATCCCTGAGGTCAGGCATTAATCAATCCTTGAGACCAGGCATTGCTGCGTGGCACTGGGCATCACCTCACAAACATGGACATTGCTCCATGGGGCCAAGAATTGACCCTCCCATCACCCCGTGGGACTGAGTATCACTGGCAAGGGTGGGCATTGAGCTCTGGGCCTGAGCATTGACCCCCAGGTCCAGGCATTGCCCCACATTGCCATGGTGCCAGGGGGATTTTCATGGACGTCACAGTGATGACATCTCCCTACTGTTTGCAGAACGGCATTGTGCCCATCGTGGAGCCAGAGATCTTGCCTGATGGTGACCACGACCTGAAGCGCTGCCAGTATGTGACAGAGAAGGTGAGTGAGTGGTGGGCTGGCAGCAGGGTGGGCACTGTACTGTGCTGTGTCCTGCCAAGGGACTCCATGCTGCCTGTCCTCCCCAGGTGCTGGCAGCTGTCTACAAGGCACTGAGCGACCACCATGTCTACCTGGAGGGCACCCTGCTGAAGCCCAACATGGTGACCCCTGGGCACTCCTGCCCCACCAAGTACAGCCCCGAGGAGATTGCCATGGCCACTGTCACCGCTCTGCGCCGCACTGTGCCCCCAGCTGTGCCAGGTACCAGCTCTGGGACATGGCAGGGACTAAGAGAGGGATGCCCTGTGTGGCCTGTGTGCCATAACCCTGCTCTTTGCAGGTGTCACCTTCCTGTCTGGGGGTCAGAGTGAGGAGGAGGCTTCCATCAACCTCAACGCTATCAACACGTGCCCGCTGATGCGGCCATGGGCCCTCACCTTCTCCTATGGGCGGGCGCTGCAGGCATCGGCGCTCAGCGCCTGGCGTGGGCAGAGGGACAATGCCACCGCTGCCACTGAGGAGTTCGTCAAGCGTGCAGAGGTGAGTGGGGTGGCCCTCCTGGGAGAAGGTGCCTAGGGCTGTGTCCTCTGGGATGGTGGGAACACTGTGGGCTGTGTCACCATGGGATGGTGGAGACACACAGCTGTGTCTCCTGGGATGGTGCGGACACTTAGGGCTATGTGCCTGTTGGAAGTGGGATGGCTGAGGACCGTGTCCCACAGGGTGACAGGAGACACCGAGGGCTGTCCTTCACTGGACAAGGGATGCCAAGGAACATGATCCCCATGGGGGACAGTGAGGGCTATGTCCCCATAGGGGAATTGGGGTGTAAAGGGCCAGATTGCTGTGGGATGATGAGAACACCAAGGGCTGTGCCCAGTAATGTGGGGGACACAAGAGTCCTGTCCCCATGGGAAGGATGTGCTATGTCCTCATAAGCTGGTGGAGCCTGAAGGTTGTACCCTCAGGGACTGGGGGATCCTGAGTGACATACCCCATGGGTGCCACTGACATTTCCTTTCTCTGCAGGTGAATGGGCTGGCGGCACTGGGCAAGTACGAGGGCAGCGGGGACGACTCGGGGGCCGCCGGGC